TCCTTCAATCGAAGACTGAGGTGGGCCTTAGTCTACTAGTATCGCATACAGTTTCTGATCGCCTATGTAGTCTCCCCTTCGTCCCTAGGTATACCATTTGTTGTTGTCAATTTCTCAATCGAAGACTTCGTTCCTAGTCCGAGCCTCTCTTCGTTATTCGGTGCATCATACCTGGTTGCGATTGACTACATAGTACCGCTGGTCAGTACTATGTAGTCAGTATCCGCCAGGCTATATTTGGCAAATTTGGATTGTTTTGTCAGCCACATCCTGGTACTGCACTAGTACTTATGACCTAGCTGTTCTACACTTTCTACCACCAGGTAACCACCAGGATGCGGTTTTTCAAATCGTTTCGATTACTGCACCGTCGTACAAGGTCTGAGGGCGATGTGTCCCATATGATTTCCTCCCCACCATCGTCGACTGGGTCACCTTGTTCGATGGAATCCCGACAGATCCAACAATATGTCAGGCCTGCTACATCGTCTAGCCTAGTCAGCGGATCAGCGGCCCCGGTGTTTGTATCCCTTGAGGCCTCCCTCCCTTCATTCGACCCAGCTCAACTTTATCAACCCCGGCCAACTCCTCTGGACATGTATACTGGTAACTGCATTCACCAGCCCGAAAGCGATGTTTTCCGCCTGCGTCAGACCAACACCGAACTCGCAGCTGACCTTGCCGATGTCACCAACGATCTTTCGCGGACCCGCAACGAACTCTATACTGAGATGACCAAGCTTGCCCGCTTCCAACACCAGCTTGCGCGTGGTATGGACCACATTCAGAAGCTTGAATCAAGATTTCAGCGTCTTGCAGGCCTTCTCGTCGACATTGGCATTCCCTACTTTACCGTTCAGCGGATCTCCGATGCACTGGATTCTGATCTCGGCACCGCAGATCATATCTTGGTCGATGCTATAGGTGACGCTGTCCACGACCCAGAAGCACTGCTCTCAAGCTTGAAGCCGGCGGTGATCGGCAACGCTGTCCTAGAACAGTATCAATCCGCGCTGAACATGACTCTCAGCGCGCGGCGCAAAGTCTGTGCACAAAAGAAAGTCTCCAAATTCTGGAAACGCCTCGCTCAGGAAGATGACCGCCACACAGACACCGTCACCCCGTCCTCGTCCAACATATCCTCTGTCCGCGAGCCTCTCACCCCCGCCCGTCAACACGCTGTCGACTCCCTCATTGCTCGTAGACGAGAGGCAAATGCATACTCTGCTAGATATCCATTCAGTGGGGCTTCTGTGCAAGGTGGTTTGGTTCTACCCGTTTCTACCTCTGACATTGGATCTGCGGCGAGTTCTGCATCTGGATCGACTGTACAGTTGCAACATACTCCGCCTTCGAGAGCACGATTTTCGATATCTGAACTACGCCGACGCTCACCCCCCATGGTTTTGGGCAACATTGATCTCAACGTTTCCCAAACATCGGATGGACTTCCAGAAGCGGAGCCTGAACCTGATAATTTAGAACACGATGGATCTGACGACCAGAATGCACGCCCAACAGTGACTCTTAGCCAGGACCTCATTCAGGTATGTCAAATAAACACATTCTACATTCAAAAGATAGTGATGATGGTGCCAACAGAATTTGAATCGCGTTGCCCTTGGACGTGGACACCGTCGTAATTCCTCGGCCGTATCAAGGTCAAGCATTCCGTCCCACCTCTTCGATTCCACACCCGCCATCTCCTCTCTTAGCACCTCGTCGGGCCTACTCACGTCCTCTTGTGGCTTTAGTTCCGACGTGCCGTTTGACAATTCCGCATTCCATAGTCTGCTTTATGGTATTGGCAGCACTCCGACGAACTCAGACAGGCGCAAATGTTCCAATACACTTATAAGCACCAGGAGGAACTCGCGCTTCCTCGAGCATATCAACGAGTACTCGACCGGATCCCTTGCTATCCTTGAATCTGCAGATTCTTTGGGATTGATGAACTCTACTGGCTCACTTGCTGTGCTCAACACTACGGCTTCCACCACCGCAACGTCCCCTGGACTCTTTGGCATCAGCAGGGAAAGCAAGGACTCGTTGTTCATGTCTACTCAGACGCCCACAACAGGGCCTACCACGCCGAGCAAGACACCACCTACAGAAAGCAGGACACCCTCATCTAGTGGGAGCAAGCTGCCCGTATTGAGACACTTGCATAGTCCTGATGCTAGTCCTGATGCCTTCAAAGTTTCCATACGCAACCCTGGGGGGATCATGAGGCGGTTGTCGCCGAGCCCTGAGAGCTTCGTACGAAAGCTTCGGAACTTGGGTTCTCGTGACGGGAGCGAGAATGTGAGTCCTGAGAAGCCGTCTGGGATTCCTATCATGCAGCGTAAGATGACGATCAAGGGACGGGTGAGGAAGTGAGTAGATGTATCATGGGTGGATTTCGGATTTCGATCGATTGCTACTATCTTTTCTTCTATTTGTTGTAAATACTTGGAGGTTATGTCATCTTCCATTTCTTCGATACATTTTCTGGCAAGCAGTTGGTGGTCTTGAATTGAGTCTGAGTCAAATATTAGCCCTGCTTCTTATAAGATGAAAGGTCGAGTTGTGCAACACTCGTCAAAAACCTTTATTCAATATTGAGTCGTGCAGTGCTGGTCCCCGCATGTACCACACGTGTCTGTAGCATCAGAGCAGCTTCGCGCGACATGGCCGTATCGTTGCCATTTCACACAACAAATGGGTTCCTTCTTGTCTTTTTGAATGGCAATGTACTCGTTTTTGATACAGAGGCCGTCGCGTAGGAGAGTGTTGGCCGTCTGAGCATCAGCAACTTGAAGAAGGGCAAATGCCTTTCTTTGCTGGGGTGAACGACAGGTGGGGGGTTTGATCCAGCGGATGGAGGCTAGCGAGTTGGTCAGGAGTAAGTTCTCCTCTTCTACTACTCTCCCGAGGTGCTTCGGGGCTCAACCGTTACTTCAGGTCCACACATCAGAATCGACATGGGTACTCATCTGAGGCCTCTCGCGGGGATTCCACCCGGTCATCAAGTTTAAAACCAGCTACTCAAGGCTGGTCCCAGACCACCGCATATTCCCACATGGGGCAGGGTGCTTTTCATCGGTGCCAGAATCTATCTTTACCACAGGCCATAAGAGCACCTGCTCACCGTGGATTCGTTATCCTGACTAACTCAATAGATGCTTAGGGCTCTTTTCCCCATTAACATCGTCACTAGCCTTCGGAGGCATATGCCGGTTTCCCAGTTCTGCCCAAGGTGAAGCCAAATCTAAAGTGGATCGGTCATTGCTCCCACAAGGTCCATGAGGACCTGATTCAGCCGAACTGCTACCCATAGGCACTCCTAGGTAGACCAGACCTTGATATCTGGTGGCAGGCAGTAATTTTATACCCTGCTCTTGTTGTGTTGTCCATGGGTACCAATCTAATGGCGAACCAGGCTGGCGTTGAAGTCGTTGCCCGACAGTGCCCAAACAGCATGATAGCCGAAAGGAGATACCAGGACGGGTAAAGGGAGAGTTTCTAATGTTTCCTCTTTATACCCTGCGACACGTCAAGTCCCCGGGAGGACACAACAGTGTGAGATCGGCGTGTTGTCTCGATCTCAAGAAATAATTGATTGGTTGCTTGAGTGGTCCAAGCTACCTATCAGTTAGAACGAGCACATTTCTCGTTAGCGTTCAAGTTGCGTGCTGAGAAGTTCGTAGCCACTGTTGGCTGTCATTCATACCTTCCTATTGTACTCCTTTCATAACGCGGATCAAAGTTCAGTCAAACGAGCTGCAAGACGCTGAACCTACCAGTGCTTAAAGCTTCGATCAACGCATGAACCTGACTTCGCAAATCACCGGTTCACTGATGGACTGCGTATATTGCAGGTTACAGTGTTGTTCAGAACGTTCAATACACTTGTAGGGAGTTGGGGTCACAGATACGGTCGCAAGTGAGTAACCGTGACACAAACAGGATGCCACGGGCCACCGCGCATTTCGCAATGCGCGACTGCAATATCTTGTTGCTATAGTACTGGCCCCGTCGACCTGGTTTGAGTCTGGGATGAATCAGTTGTCAAAATCAAAGTTCAGTCAAACGAACTGCAAGACGCTGAACCTGCGAGTGCTTGAAGCATCAACCAGCGCATAAAACTTGACTCCGCCGAGTTGCAGGGTCATTCAAAACGTTCAAGGCGCTTCGCCTGCTCGACCTGAGCTAGTTCTAGAGCAGCGTCCGCATCAGTGGACAAAATCAAATTACCTTCATCAGCAAAAGCGCTGCCATGAACGCTTGCTTGAGTGCGTTACGAACACTTGTGGACGTATGGTGTTATTAGGTTCGTAACCAGTCCGCCCGAGGCAAACCGCCGATAAATGGTAAGACCGGGTTTGAATATTGAATTGGGATAGGCGCTTTGGAGTCGTCACATGACGACAAACGATAACATTCGGGCTGCACAACGCTTGTTTTCCGACGACGCGGGGCTTTGGCATAGTGTCGGACGCATTTTTATGTGGGTGTCTTACCCCCACTCGCAGATATTGTGGCGAACGTTGAGACAGAAGTGGATGTCTTGCCCCCAGTCTGATGTAGGTGTCTCATCCCCACGGCCTGCTTGTACAAACGTTGGAACCTAGGCTGTTGTCACGTTTAGCGCAGGTTTGGTATTTGCAGAGTATTCGGCTTGCAGGGTATATTTGGGGAGAATACAAACGACGTGTTCGAGCACTCACTGATGCTGTTCCTGCGTCCAATGTTTCACATTCGTCAGATGATAATTTGGCGTACCTGTTACCTCGGAGTTCGATATGTTTACTAGCTTGCGTAGTTCTAGTTAAGCTTTAAGTTTCAGATGTTTACTTTGTTTCCTGGCTTGCATAGTAGTTTGCTTTCATGTTTGTAGTTGAGCCATCGGTACCTGAGCTTATGTAAGCGTGGTTGACCGTTCATTCAAGTATTTTTATTGGCTGACGGGAAAACCCTGCTTATTAGACATCGCTTAGATAAGTAACTCTTGGCGCTAGCGCCCATCTCTTTTTGTTGAGAACGCGACATGTGGAGACAGTCCGACACCGTAACTTACTGGCAACACTCAGACAACCTAGAGGTACATCGTCGACCTCTTCCTGTTTGCATACTGAGGTTTGTCGTATCAGTGATGCTAACACACGAGACATACACTTTCTACGAAGGCAAACAATTGGAACCATCTCAATCGTACTACTCAAGGCTTTCAGGATCAGACATTGTCATCAAGCTCTCCGCTCATTGTCCTTCGTCGCCTGGTTTGCTTTTTTTTTTTTGCTTTGTGTCGCTTCAGGAATCTTGCATGGCCATGGCTTTACTGTGATGTCCACTGCGACACTGATGTGGGCAGGAACCATGCCTGGAGAATATCTATATCTGTTCTTACCCGCCGACGGTTTCGGTTGTAATCAGAGCTCGACAGACGATGAAGATACATGTTGCCCCTTCTTTCGTGATGATTGGCCAAGGTGGAGTCGAGTGAATGCGATGGTTTCATTGGATCTGGTCACATTGCTTCGCAAGCTCTATTCAATCGGTAGAGGAAAGAGGTGTCAGCTGCTCAGGCGCTCACACATACAGCTCGGTTCCGGCACAATTGAACACACCTGTTCCGAGCTGCAACGATACAGATGGTGCTTCCTTTCACCTCCTTTGTCATATCCAAGCAACAAATTCAGCTTCAGGTCGCGACGGAAGTGTCAAATAACTGCTAGGCTGAGTCTTGTGAGGACCTAATGTTATCTATCAATGGTTGAAAGCTGAAAACATAAGAATGAAGTATTTGCTCCAGTACCATTGGCAATTGCTAGAACGTTCGTCGCCTGGACCCTTGCCGTCTCGTCATGAATGAACCGAATATCAATATCAATATTAGTTGAAACTTGAAACTAGTACCAATCAGCAGAGGCCACTTCAACGGTCATCAGTTTTGGCAGCCCTCAATATCGACATACGTATTTCTTCTCTTCTTGCCACTATCATGTGGTCTCGCCGCCAACACCCCTCAAGTTACTGTTTACCATGCAATATGCCACAAACGACATCGCTTGCATCATGCATGACCCCTCGCGAGTTCGCATACACCACATTCCGCTTAAAATGAGGTTCTTAGACACCAAGAGCTGGGCGCTAGGGAAGTTGCCGATAAGAGTGCAGCCTCGTATTCCATCGGCATCGCAGAGAACAGCGAGCCCACTGAAAAGAAAGACGGACTACTACCATTAGCGATATTTCCAGCGACTATGCGAGAACGATTTGACTTTGCCAATATTGGAGTGCGACGCCCAGAGTTCCAACAGCTTTTAATCGACACGGCCCAAAAGCATAGCGTCGAGATCGCCATCAAGCCACTGATTTGAGCAAAGCGAAGATGCAGTGGAAGTCACGTTCGCGAATGATGCCAAGAGGTAATGCAGGGGTGAATCAGTCCCCTTCTCAGTGTCAGGGCTAACAGAATATTTGATTGAGATACTTATAGCGGCTACACAAATCTTCCTCCGAATCCGCACAGGTCACACTGGGGCGGGTCGCACCGCGGGTACAATATCTACCCCTATCCAAATCAATCCTCCGGCACATGCATCAACTCCTATCCAAATCTTGCTAGATTCGCTCATCACAATGGTATTTCAATATGCCATCCTCTGGGCTTACCTCCTCGCGTACATCAATCTCGTCAACAATGCATTGTTCCATTCCTGGACCGGAGTGGGCCTTGTCGTCAGCATGGCGGCAACCTGGCTTTTCGCTGTCGCCCTAGCACGAATTCCAATTACCCGCAGAATGTGCCGAGAGGATTTATCCGGCCTTTCCATACTATGCTTGGTCTTTTGTGTATTGTGGACACGCATCTTAGTATGGTACGATCATGGGACCGCGGAACCGGAGATGGTGACATGGGCAGGTAAAGTCGCAGCACTGCATCTTCAGGAACTCCAATTGATGTTATGCATACCAAAGATGTTCTAAAACGATTGGCCATATTTTTTGGTTCTACATTGGCATGGGCGTTGGAGTTCGTAGTCATGTTATGTTTCTGGGGGAATTTGCAGTGGAAAGATCCGATAGCGACATCTTGGCGGTTTATCACCTTGGGCCCGGTGGATGAGAGCGACCCGGAGAATGATCTGGACTTGTGTGTATATTCCTCACTGGTGGGTATTTCATTTAGTATCTATAACCAAGCTCATATTACGTTCAAGCTCCATGAGGATCCTGATTTGTTGCCCTCGCAACTTGACGAGAAAGTTTTTACATCCGAAGTCTGAATGCTCACGGCATTGGGCTATCTCTTCTAGACCTGGCTCTTACATATCTTTCCATATCGCTACATATGTCGTAGGCACCTAGGATGTGCGCCCCCAATAAAGTCTCTTTCAAATTCTCCATATTCATTCCTCATCAAACACTAATTCAATGCCTTCATCCCTTGCAGCCGCTATCGCGGCCTCTTGTCTTTCCTCACAGTGCATTTTCAATGAAGTAAGAATGTCACGTTGCCCTACAAAACAATGTCAGAAAACCCCGCAACGACTTTCCCGACGACCCACCTTCTAGGTAATGTTTGAGCATCAATCTCACCGCCGGGCGTATGCCAGCGTCGTTCTCATCCGGGAGATCGGGAAGTGAATCGCACTTCTTCTGAACCATTTCCAACAACAGCTGTGCTGCTTCCAAATCGTCCTCATACCCTATCTCATCCGGGGTTTCAGCCACCAATCGACTCACTTCGTTCCAGAGTCCTTCCGCACCGCTTGCAAGACGACCGATCGCCCACTTGTTAGAGGAACCACCTAGCTGTAGCGTAATTTTATCATCCGGGTTTTGTGGGAGCGAGAAGCCATATCCAAGGATCAGCTCGTCGTTCGCTTTGAGCCCATAGTTGTTGAAGACTTCTTCGCCAAGAGGCGTCATGGTATGCGAAATGATGGAAATAGTGGCCGACTCATCCCTTTCTTTCGTACTTCCGTCTGGATACGACGTGCACCAAGAAACAGGCTGTCCACGAGAATGGTTGAGGATATCTACTCCCGGAAGCATGAATGGATAACTCGAGGAGGTGGTCTGCAGCGTAGGAGATCGAGATAGAAGCGTGGACGGAAATGCGCGGGTTGAAAGATACGTTGATGCTCTCAGATATCTGTCCCTGATCTGGTTTGAGAGGCGTACGCGGAGAAAACAAGCACGGGAGATGCATACCAAGTGTATCTTTCAGCCCAATCTGGATCAACGGCATGGATAAAGGTTCGACATGTATTCCACTCAGCTTTCCAGCTTTCCTGACGATCACGGGTAGCGCCATAGATGTTAGTTCCTCGGAAAGCCTCCAGTTCAGATGACGTGAATTGAAGGGGCGTTAGCAGTGCGTCTGAAGGTGGAAGGCTTTTCAAGTAGGGAAGATGTCGAAGGACATCGGGAATTTGACTGTAATGGATTATGATTATCAGACACGCACATAGAGAGACGGTATTAGTTCAATGCACCTTGAATCGGGGAAGATCCAGTGTAAACATAAGTAAGTGCAAATAAGCTGCCTTTCCGACCACGACTGCAGGTCAACGAGAGTCGATTCGCCAAATAGCGCTGTTAGAGCACGCAGAGAACACTCCACGTCGATGGCCAGTGAAAATGGACAAGACACAATCGTAGTGTCGGCATCGATAGCGTCTTGCGCAATAGCAGAGAGTCCGAAATTGCCTGGCAGTGACATTAAACGGCGGAAAGGATATAAAGTATCTAGGTGTTAGATCGAGCACCTTGAGACAAAGAGACGGATGAGTGAATAAAACCGCCATAGGCAGTGAGCCATCGTCTAAGCTCGGCAGCGCTGCTGGGCTCCATGGTTGACATTGACCGTTAGAGGGATGAATAATAGTTAACTAATTTCAAATGCAGATCTTACTACATGAATGAACCCTAAAGCTTTAAAGCGCACGATATTGGCTACTTTTGCATCGTGTATTCATCCAAATTTCTTGTCCAGATCGTGCGAGGGCGGTTTCAATTGGCGGTGCACGATGCTGCACTCTCCGGACGTCTCTCGCACTAGGTCTTGAGCCGCCGGCTCCGGCTTTTCAGCCGGGCCCTTATGTGAGCGTAGTTTTCATTCGAGTTTTTTCATTGGCTGACGGGAAAACCCTGCTTAGACATTGCTTAGATAAGTAACTCTTGGCGCTAGCGCCCATCTCTTTTTGTTGAGAACGCGTGGAGACAGTCTGACACCGTAACTTACTGGCAGCACTGCAGACAACCTAGAGGTACATCGTCGACCTCTTCCTGTTTGCATACTGAGGTTTGTCGCATCAGTGATGCTGACACGAGACATACACTTTCTACTCGAAGGCAAACAATTGGAACCATCTCGATCGTACTACTCAAGGCTTTCAGGATCAGACATTGTCATCAAGCTCTCCGCTCATTGTCCTTCGTCGCCTGGTTTGCTTTTTTTTTTTTTGCTTTGTGTCGCTTCAGGAATCTTGCATGGCCACTGCTTTGCTGAGATGTTCACTGTAACACTGATGTGGGCAGGAACCATGCCTGGAGAATATCTATATCTGTTCTTACCCGCCGACGCTTTCGGTTGTAATCAGAGCTTGACAGACGATGAAGATACATGTTGCCCGGTCTTTCGTGATGATTGGCCAAGGTGGAGGGCAAAACAAATTACTCAACGGTACCGGCAATGAACTCGATCTTGTTCGTGGACAAAGAACAACACTACTATCTTGTGTGGCGATGAAACCACACAATCAGGTATCCTCGAAGCTTTGCGGCACGTTGAGCAACCTTACAATTCAGGTTCCGCTGTGAGAGGCAAACGCCTCACGCTACTTGGCCTGGAGGACGATACTCCGCACGCCGAGTTCGCATTATTATCGGCGTATCAAACTGCCGTCGGCGATGAGGAGACGCCCAACAAGATCATTCACCTCGCAGTTAGTCTTCAGTTTTGCAGTTGTGAGAGGGTCGTTGGCACGTTGTAGTCGCCGATCCTGAAACAACATGTTATGGAAGCTTCCTACGAGAAAATGTTCGAGAATTTGGAGGGTGATTGTATCATAGTGAACTGTACGAATGCGGCCTCGCGGGCACTTGAGCTGTTGAACATGCTACGTGCACCGTGAAGAAGAAAGTGCCGCTCGATCGAGCAGAGGATGGTTTTCATTCATATTACCAGTGTGTATGATCCAGCTGCATTGTGTTCGCCTGCATAGGACCGCAAGTTGGTTCCCTTTTTTTAACAAGTGCTTAATTTGAATTGCTCTTGTACTTTGTTTTGTTTGAGAAGAGGCCGTGCTATCATATCCGGATATTTCTTTATGCATGCTGCAGCGTGCCAAGTGATTCAAGGCACAGCCACTTATAGAAGCCTTCCTTCTGCTCAGTCAATATTCAGTACTACCTACCCCTGTAGACCAAGAAAAGCCACAGTCATGCATATGCTAACGTCTATCAGGACATCGAATGGGAAGATCGAGATCATCGATCAACTGCTCTTGCCACACGCGACAAAGTACGTGGAAATCACCTCTATCGAACAGGCCTATGATGCCATCAAAGAAATGAAGGTCAGAAAGAAAAAATACATATCCACTCCGCGGTTTTTGATGAATAATAGATTCGTGGTGCTCCGGCCATCGCATCGTTGGCATCGCTAGCTTTTGCTGCTTACATTCAAACCGGTCTCGATAGTGCTCAACCACCAGCCTTCCTCCTGTCACCCGAATCACTTTCCGCACAGGTGATCCAGAAACTCGACTATCTCTCCGGCGCACGTCCGACTGCCGTTAATTTAGGCACAGCAATTCGCCGCCTGAAGGCTGTCCTTCAGTCTTCTATAGATGCTGGAAAGTCTGTCCCACTGATCGCAACAGACTTGATCAGCGAAGGAAAACTTATAGCCGATGAAGATTTCGACCGCAATAAAAGAATGGCAGAGCATGGCGGTGAATGGCTTGCAGAACTTGACAGGGGATCTGGAGGCAGTGGTCAAGGACTTAATGTCCTCACCGTGTGCAACACAGGATCCCTTGCGACATCGGTATGGCATCTCTTAGCTAATGTATCCATTTTTGACGGCGATAAATGTGTCACAGGGCTACGGTACAGCTCTGGGGCTGATTACCTATCTCCACGAGCAAAAGAAGCTAGGTAAAGCATACTATACCCAAACCGCACCGTACCACCAAGGGTCCCGGTGAGCCGCCGATCGGTCGTGGTAATGCCAAGCTTTAGCTGATACCTCATACCTCACAGCCTCACGGCACTAGAGCTTAAGACAATGCAGGTCCCCTCAGTAATGATCTGTGATACAATGGTTGGTTCTTTATTTCAACATCATAAGATCCATGCCGTCGGTAAGAACCATTTGAGTTCAACGTTTCTTTCGATCATCTGATCCTTCCCCTTCATAGCGGTTGGTGCCGACCGGATAGCGAGGAATGGTGACACTGCGAACAAAGTACGTCATACTTGTTAACCAAACTCAGAGTCATCAGAGGATATTATTACCCGTGCAGATCGGGACTTATAATGCGGCCGTACTTGCGGCGCGGCATAAGATCCCATTTATTGTCGTTGCCTCAATTAGCAGTGTCGATCTCGATACCCCGGACGGTTCAAGCATTCCGATCGAGCATCGCAAGCCGCTCGAAGCTTGCCTCGTGCGCGGGGCTGTTCATCCCTTTGAATTCGATGTCGAAGGAAAGGTTAGGCAGGAAACTGTCATGATTACTCCCAGCGGCCTCGAAGGGATATACAATCCGAGCTTTGATGTTACTCCAGCTGAATTAATCACCGCGATTGTCACAGAGAAGGGCGTCGCAACTAGGAAAGAGGGCGAGACTAGTTTCGATCTAAGTGGAGTTGTATGATCTTACGAGATACCGACTAGAAGTAAAATGTACTTGTACCCACGCGACGGATCAAAACTTCAGTTAAAAATTAGCTAGTGCTAATTGTTTCTGAGATACTCCAAATCGGTATTACGGTCTTTATTCAAAGCGATATCTAGAAAGCACGGCTAATCGTCAATTTCCCTAGTTGAGCAGATTTAGCAGATTTAAGAAATGGGCAGTACTGTACTAAACCACTCCGGACTCGGTTTTCAAGTGTCCGATGGAGCAATTGTTGGTTGACGAAAAATATTTTCCCCTGCGTCGCAAGTCAATCTAGCTCATTAAGTGTCACTGACAGTTGTCCCTCCAAGTGGCCCTGTGTGGGCCAAGTACTACAACATGGTTTCAACCCATTGCCTGAGTCAGACTAGGATCATGGATCATCTGTTCACATTACCCATGGCACAACTTTGAAAGCAGTAAATTTAAGTGCCATGAATATTCCTTGATTTACCGCGGAGATTGGATGACGAGCTCTTATCTGGCTTATTCGACTAGGGTATAGTCCACACTACGAAGTCCAATTCTACTAGTAATCGAATCATGTGTTCGACACAGATGGAAATTTTCGAGAGTAACGACTGCGGTGCTCGATAACGTGTAATCGGCGGAAGTCCATAAAGAACGTGAGTGCGGCCACCGCACATGACAACAAGGTACTAGTAGTAGTACATGGATGATACTCTACAATATGATGACCAGACGAACATGACTAATAATCGCCACGACAGTAGAAATGGTTGTACACCGAATAAGGCAGGTGCTGTAATTAGAGAATCACATGCAAAGACTGTTGTCTGGTAGTCCATGCTTGTCCCACTGCCCCTCCTTACTCGCAACTCATCATGATCGACTATCTTCTAGGCAGGCCAAGTCCATCTTGGAAGCGCACTCAGGTAATGATAACCATAATCTGGCGCATCACTTTGCTTATAAGTGAATACAAGGTCTTTCTCGTCCTCGTCTTCTGGATTTGGCGGCTGGTGTACGGTAGCCCCAATGCTCCACGGTTTCTGTGGCTCAGAAGAGCAAATAGGCGTCTGCGTGAGTGGTACATATACATGTTTGTAGTTTCCAATTACATACTGCCTTTAGAACGTTTCACGCCTTGGCAAATCATCGTTAGTACACTTACTGCGGTGTATGCTGCTCGAAATTTGGACAAGATTACTGGTTTTGGAGGTAGGTCTATGGAACGTTATCAGCCATTGATTCATCTCATCTGAGCTTGAAATCTCGCAGCGCCGGAACCTCTGGCTCGTTTGGTTAGTCCCTGACCTTTGTTGCTGTCTGACAGTGCCATAACCGTTGTAATGCAGTACTCGCCCTCATACTACCGTGCCACATGGATTGCGATTGGACTTGATGCTGGATTTGCTACTGCTATGTCCATACGCCCTAAATGGCTTAAAGACTTCTGCTCTATCTTATTCTCCATCTATTATATCATCTACGCTAATGAAGCTGACGAAAAGGTACTTCTTGTGCATGCCACTAATGTCAATACTATTCACAGAACACGTCCGTAGATCCGTAGGCACAGAGCTGTTCCGACTGTGGAGATGCTCAGAACTACCTGGGAGAAGACTACTAACCCATATGTAAGATATCCTCGTATTGCTTTGAGGCTTATCTCAAAACGTTTCTAGCTCCGTTTAATTGCGTTGACGCCGCGAATGTCTCTGTGCAAGAAATTTCTACTGCCAAGGCCTATCACGTCGACATACGACCGTCCTTTAAAGGTGCATGTGTACTTTGCGCCACCTGCTGTTCAGCTTCAGCAAGCCACGGATCTCATACTTGATTTCCCGGGTGGTGGGTTTGTTGCAATGACCCCAGAACATCATGATGAGCGACTGCGCTCCTGGGCGCTACGCACAGGCAAACCAGTCCTCTCCGTCGAGTACGGCAAGGCACCAGAATGTAATGTCAACATAATGTGCCTGTTCTCACCTCACTAACGTATTCTAGATCCATATCCTTTCGCGATTGATGAATGCTTCGATATTTATCGGGTCATTTCTATGTCCGCTGGACGATGCATTGGCATGTCTGGTAAGAAGCTTAACATCATATTAACGGGAGACTCTGCGTACGTCGATTCATGTGTAGTTGCATACCGCTCATTCAGGGTCATTCAGCGGTGCAACACTTGTGGTGGGCGTGATGACCAAGATTTTACAACACAATACCGCGCTCCCCGCTTCTACAGCCCCTCTTCCCGCGCCTGTCGCACTTGTGCTGAGCTATGCAGCGCTCGACTTCAATTTTACCTCGTGGATGTCTCCTGAAAACCTCCAGGTCCTGCGCTCCGAGCAATCCTCGGGTAATCTTCCGGGCATACATGAGTTAGCATCGCAGAAAGACCACTTGCAACACGTCAGCCCGTTGAGTATGGTGGGAGACCGCAAACATGGGTCCGGACGCCGGAAATTACATAGACGCAGGAGCTGGAAAGATGCTCTATTGGATTTTACAGGGGTAGACGCTGATGCTGTCAGGTCGAAGCCAGTGCCAGCTCGGCATCACTCTACCTTGGGAATGAAGAAAAAAAGTTCCGTGGTATCGTTTGGAACGCGTGCTGGGAGAGATAGCGCGCGAAGCAATCCATTGCGACATGACGATAGTGGTTTTTGGGCGGGTTCTGAAAGCGACGAGGACGAGCCTGTGAGAGAGGAGGACCGGGCACTGGAGGATCGTGTGCGTTATGTGTACCCTGAATGCGTCAGCAGCGGTGACGGTGCACACTTGCATCAGAGGCTCGAGAAACAGCAGGAAAAACTCTCTGCAGCTGTAGCGGAGGCTGATAGTAAAGCGTCATCTACCAAAGGCGAAGACAAGAAACGGGAACTGATTGGCACCCGATTGACGATGACTAGCCGCACAGGGTATTTCCAGGATAGAATTATACCTCCCAGTATGGTAAGTTTGATTAGTGTTCAAATCCCATTGGGTATTTATTAAACTCCACAGATGCGGGCGATGGCCATCCTCTATATTGGTCCCCACCATAATCCGGATTTTGCCACTGATTACTTTATCTCGCCCATCCTCACGCCCGCGAAACTTCTAGCGCAATTCCCCCCACTTCTGATGCAATGTGGTGAAAAGGATCCATTTGTGGACGATACCGTCATTTTTGCGGGGCGTGTCCGGGAGGCCAAACGTGCGCGTAAGATTGAATTGGAGCTTGCACTTTCTGGGAAGAGTGCCCGATTTGGGGAAACGCTTCAAATGAGCTCCGCACACCTGGAGAGCAACGAGGATTTGGAGAAGTTGAGGCAAGAGAGGGAGCAACTTGCGAAAGAGACGGAGGACGACTGGGTGCAGATGGTGTTGTTCTCTGATTGGAGCCACGGGTACCTTCAGATGATGTCCCTGATGAGTGAGGCACGGGCTGTGGTGGAAGATTTGGCGGACTGGATGGAGGATGCGTTTGTGAGATACGGCGGTAAAGAGAAGGGCAGCCCATGCGGCAGGGTTGAGGTCAAGCCTGTTGATAATGGTGGAACAAAGAAGATCCGGTCACGGAGAAACTCGCCGCAATCATCGTCTGGTACTTCGAAACGGGTGAATGGGGACGTACACGCCGATGGTAGCCCTAGCCCGTTTACATCTGAAACGGAGACGGACGACTCGGGTATCACGTTTGTGGCTCGAAAGCGGCTTACGATGACACAGGGAAGCTCTGTGGGATCGACGCCTCTTATGAACTCATGCAGGGGATCTGGTGAGCTTGTTGAGAGTGTGTTGGAAGCGCAGAAGTTTGGGCAGTTGCGTCGTGGGGAAGTTGACACAGCGACTAGTACGACGCCTCAGAGCAGTACGCCTCGTGGAGGGAACGGGAAGATAGGACAACGGATCACGGAGAGTGAGTTATTGAGACGGAGGAGGTTATTGGATGCACATATCTTTGAAGGACCATAGTTAGTTGTAGTAAGAATTTATAATTGCTGTGCACGGGTAGAAATGGGAACCGGGGCGTGAGACACAGCCACCCTTGAATTGCTTCCAAGATCTTTGTCAATCCCGTACGTAGGTGGGTTGCACTGGTTTTTTGTTTAGTTCTAATCTTAAATCACTGAGGCTGTGTCATCTTCCTTCAAATAGCGCCAGGAGAGCGCTCCAGATTCAGTCATCCGCTTCCCCACCCGTTGTCCTGAAAAGTCTCAGCATCCGCTTCTGTTCAGAACTTCCGTTGATCTTAAGTACAACCTTTCAAATCAAAGAAGCCCTCTATTCCCTCGCCTAAATAATAAAAAGGTCCTATCAATCATGAACCTGGATTCGACTCGGGTTCACTGGTCGACATCTCCCACATCTCAACAGGAATTTCAAGCTTATAACAATCACCAGTTTATTTCAACTGAACCCACAAACATGTCTCAGCAACAGCAATCCTTTCCTCCAGGCGCAGGTCCGAATGACGCTCCTCAAGACCAATATCCTCCAGGTCACGCGTACAGGAGGAGTCAGTCTAACTCTCCGTTCCGACACACCACACATCCATCACCGTATCCACAACCAAACATTCCACCAATTCAACCTCAACCGGAGCTAAAACAGGAGTCATACTACACCCCAACCTCCGCAGAGTTATACACTCATGCTCAGGTCCTCGCATCCGGTGCAGCAGAAGGGTCTGCTTCCGCCCATTACACTTCCCAAACCGCTATAACTCGTCTCCCCCCTATTCTACAAGTAGAGAAGAAGCAGGTCACCACATCCGCAACACAAGCTGCAAGTGCAAGCAGGCGGAGAAATGAAGCCCATTTCGCCTGTCCGGTCCCGGGTTGTGGGAGCACATTTACGCGTCGATTCAATCTTAGAGGTGCACAATTACATCAATATTGTCTCTACATTCTCTAACTAATTCACTAGGTCATCTTCGATCTCACACCGAGGAACGTCCATATGTGTGCGAGTACCCCGATTGTAAGAAAGGCTTTGCAAGACAGCATGACTGCAAGTGAGTCTTACTCCATCACAATACTCTTCGATCATACATTTGTCTTCGGCCGACCGCCGTTCCTTATCGCGTCACCGATCCTCTCCACATTATTGACTCACCTATGACATGCTCACGTCATGATCTACACAGGCGACATCAAGCACTACACGCCACGCGCTCCCAATCCAACATCTGTCAGGGCTGCAAAAAGACCTTCAGTCGCCTGGATGCCCTAAACGTAACTTCTCTATATCGTTACCATCTCACATTAGCTAACGTCCATCCCCCTTTTGCTTTCATCCAGCGACATCGTAAGTCACTATTCCCGTCGTTATTGACACTCGAGTGCTTACTACTACTCCGCGGTATAGTTCGTTCCGAGGGTGGTTCTGAATGCAGACAGATTGTAGAAGCCCAGCAGCAGGCTGCAGCACATGCTCAAGCGATCACACAATCTCAGGGTCCTCCACTACCCGACCACCCTCCCGGCAATCAACCAGGACCCAGCTCAAGCACTGCCAGTTAGAGTTAGTGGTTGAGACCCATGGACAGTTGGACTCCCAGAACGCTTTTAGATATTTCTCCTTCATGTTTTCATGATTCCTCTTTACACTCAGGATGTAAGATTACCTGAGCTATAGGCTCATCATCATTCATTCCCACTGATGTATACACTCTTGTATCGATTCCTTGGGCTTACAGTTAATATACTTTGCTCTTAATGTTACCCCCAATCATTATTGCCACGATCCGTGAGAACTTGGAGAAACACGTGAGAAGTGCACCCTCGGCTATCATAGGGTATCGCTGCATGTCTTAGTACTCATCCAGTACTTCTCTTCCTCTCCCATCACAATGTCCCTTGCAATGCTCGTCGGTGGGGCTGAGTGCGGCCCATCGAACCCACTGCAGAGCCTGTCCAAAAGGTTCGACCAAGACCGCGGAGTGCAGCAGGTGCGTGCGGGGTTATGGGAAGTCCTAGGGTCACCAACCATTCTACCCCACTGCAGGATCTCATCGGTGGCACGCGTGCAAGTTCATCTCGAGAGGTAATAATAAAACCTCCTAATCAAACAAAACCCCGATAACATCACACGCAGGTTTTCCGCACCCAACAAGCTACTTCACCTGAACTACAACAGCATGCGGAACGTTTCTTTAATTCGACGCATGCGCCCCCGGCCCAGCTTGTAGTCCCTCAGCCTTTCAATCTGGCTGGATTTCATGATGCTCTTCCGCAAGTTCAAGCATCCATTCAATCACCGCAGACCCAGAACCCATTTCCCTCGGGCTGGGCGAGTGATTTTTTGGTACACCAGGTGCAAACGCCTGCATCTGCGATCAATCATGTCGAGGCTCAGAAGGATCGAATGCAGAGTCCTATTTCTGTGCCCATAACTCCGGGACTGCAAGGTGCGTGCTTATGGTGGGTACAGTGAATATATGGTATATGCGGAGTTCAAGTGCTAGGTAGTATGCCCTGGAACGCCTCGCATGTGGGCTACAGAACGAGTCCTATGTCGGGCATGATGGCCGCAGTGCCGATGTCGATGCAAAGATCTACTTTGCAGACTGATCGTGCGTTTATAGCTTGATCAAATGCAATCAAACGCTCATACATTGTCTGAAGAGATGTCATGGGACAAAGAGTTTCAGTCTCAAGAAACGATGTTGAATGCGCATATTGCCACAGTTGCAGAATCTGTTCACACCGCATCAAAGCCTACACCGAAAGACGATATGGCACAATTAGCAGCACGCGTCATTGATGCTGTTCAGGGCGAACAAAATCCAAAATTCCACCAGAGTCAATTCATGAGCCTCATGCGTCAGTTTCGGGACGGCGAAGTCATCGTTGAAGAAGACAAGATCGTTCCGAGTGAAAGCAGCACTGCTGTTCGTGTAGACGTCAAGGGAAAGGGGCGTGCAGTTGACATTCCTGTGCGAGAAGTTCAGGAACCTGTCCTTGTCCATTCAGTACCAGCGAGTTCCATCCAGGGTTTTCAAGGTTCCTTCGAATTAAGCGAGGCGTATCACCGTCAACGTGACAAAAACAATAGCGCAAACGATGCGTATTTTCAACAAGAAAACGAGGAGTTCTCGGATTACTGGGATGCTCATTATACAGGACCTGTGCCTCGCACTATATCCGCGGGCGAGCAAGGTTCATGGCATGAACTGCAACGCGATTGGGATGCCTTTGAAGCTACCTCCACGGGAATTAAAGCGTTGGCAAATTACCAATTTCAGGAGAATAATCCTTATCTCCTGGGCGACTCATCAAGGACGCACCATCATGGAATGCACGTGAGTGATGTCCAACGTGCCTATGATGTCAGTCACAAGATGTTTTTGTTTTTCACATGTATGCTGACTGCGCTCCATCTCAAATAGAGCGTGCTCGAACTAGAGGCGGCTGTCCAGCGCGATGGAAACAACGCTGCAGCATGGTATGAGCTTGGCGTCAAACATCAAGAAAGCGAACGTGAAAAGAAGGCTATCCAGGCCCTGGAACGTTCTGTTGAGCTTGATCCGACGCACCTGGGTGCTTGGCTTGCCCTCTCGGTATCTTACACCAATGAAAACAATCGCATGGGCGTTCATAAGGCAATCAAAGAATGGGCGATTCGCAATCCCAACTACACGCATATGGTCCAGAACGCCACTTTGACATCGGCTATTAATGTATCCTCTCCTGGCAATTTTGAGGCGTTGATAGAATGTCTTATCAGTATGGCACGTAACGCTGATGAGGTGGGAGGTGTGGATGCGGATGTACAAGTGGCACTTGCTGTGCTACTAAACACGACAGATGTACGTGCTTGTGATCTCGGGTCGTCCCCATCTGTTCCGAGAGTGATGGGCTGATTACCAATTTTTCCACTAGGAATATGCCAAGGCGCAAGATTGCTTCCTGACGGCCTTGGCTGTTCGCCCAAATGTGAGTGTTTCAAAATCGAGTTCATGTGCGCGAGGCTGAAGTAAACTATTACCAGGACTGGCTTCTGTATAATAGAGTGGGTGCCACGATGGCAAACAATGGGCAGGCTGAGGAAGCACTTCAGTTCTACTATCGGGCACTGGATCTAAACCCTGCATATATACGAGCGAGGTATCGTGACCCTTTCCTCATAGTTGGTTGTCGTGAATGCTGAGTGAAACACATCATGTGGCAGGTTCAACCTGGGTATTTCTTGCATTAATCTTCGGGTGGGTCTTTCTTATTCCGATAAGCTGTGATGCTGTGCTATTGTTGACGTTGGTTTGACAGCGATATGAGGAGGCACAGTCACACATTCTCGATGCGTTAGTTTTGCAAGATAGTGATGGTGTGGCGGACGATGGTGGCATGAACGACAAGCGTGGTGTAACAAACTCCACGCTATGGGAGAGCCTCAAGACGACGTGTTTACACCTTCATAGGCCTGACCTAGCAGCGTTATGTGATAAGAGAGACCTGGATGGTATGTTTTGGGACATCTTCTGATGTTTCTGATAAGGGGCTGATGACAGCTGATGTACAGGATTCAGGAATGCGTTTGAAAGCGGGCCTTGACAAGCGGATCCGTGAAATCCCCGACAATTCGTGCTGTAATGTCTGATTTCGTACTTGGATTTACTGCGTCTAGCACCGCTTCATGTGTATTTTACCTCGCATTTGTATCGCTAGAACCTATGGAGCTATTAGTTCGGAGTAGTTCTTGGGCCAGTAGCGCTTGATTCAAACCTGTACTCGGACCAAGAATAGCTGTGCTCCCATGAATACCTGTGCTCGGGGCAGGTATACCGAGCCGTCTATTCCTCTCAGCCACCAATAGCTGGAACCACGGCAAGGTCTCTGGGTCGTTTGGTTGAATTGGATGCTCAGCTACTTTTTTCATTGCGAGGAGGGTCTTTTGCTTGGCCTCGAAGCGAGACTTTTGATCTGCGACGAGGTCTCGGATCTCTTGGACGTCGGCGTCTGACATTGGAATCATGGTAGGCGTGCGTCTGATCATGGTGTAGTCGATAGAAATCGCAGGCAGAGTGATCTGTAGTATAATACAAGCTCAAGCGCTAGTTTGACGATGTAAACAGTGATGAGCGGTGATAATGAGGTCCCAAATAAGCGCCCTTGCTGACAACAATCTGAGACGTGTTCACAACTGTTTGGTTATTAAACCCGACACGCGAAACGGAACGCAGCAGCTGAGCCGCAGCACAAAAAACCTTGAACAAATACTGTACCCACAGACCATACTTTCAACCAACCACCATCCACTAAACAGTCATGGAAGCCGTTCTTCGTGTCACCGACGCTCTCAAGTCTTTCCGGGTACGTAGCAGTACTCTGCATGAAAGGAAAATTTGACATCTAACGCTCATTCAGGAAACCCGCTTGAGCACCCTCAGAACTCCTGCAGAGTTCTTTGATATCCACCGAATTTCAAGACCTGCAGATTTCAACACGGCAATATCGGTGCGTTTTCGCGGGTTGTTTGCATACTCTGGCGACCGGTACTGAGAACCGAACTCGTTAGCGACTCACATATAACACTCGGTATTTCTCGGGGAACTACACTCTCATCGTAGCTGCTCTTGCAGTATATTCCATGTGCGTAGGGTCCCAACCACGAGCTAGTGCTCAACCCTGAACCCATAGCTGACGTCGTCTCCTAGTATTGCAAGTCCTCTCCTTCTCTTATCCCTCGTCTTCCTCTTTGGAGGCTTTGCCGCCATCAACCGTTTTGGTGCGACTTACTCTATCTTTTTCTCCCCTTCACTCGGTACTGACGTAGGATTTTATTTAGAGGAAATATATGGGCAGTTCGTCACCCAAAAGACCCTGTACACAGGGCTCTTCGTGATCGGCATCCCCCTTCTGTGGTTCTCCTCTCCATTCATGACTTTGTTCTGGCTCATCGGAGCGTCCGCGTGTCTCATTCTCACCCACGCATGCTTGATTGAACCAGGAGTGGAGAGCGAATATGCAAATATCGAAGGAGCAGTGTAAAATGTCATGGGGAAAGAGAATGAGAGCTGAGTGCGCATGTGGTTGTTGTACTGTTTCGAGATTGGACTGTGTCTTTTTGAATCCCAATTCCGGTCGCTCGTTCTTATTCGTATAGGCGCGTATTTCCTTTACGTACATAGATTGTACAAATCGGAATAGGATGGACCGAGAGTCAGTTTCATTGTCTACGTTTAGAATATCAGTACTAGGATAATGATTCTATGATTGCAACGGCAGTGCAAGCGAAATCATGTGCAATATAAGAAGCTCATAAAGTAATGTACAGAGTTAAGCCATCCTCTCCAAGGAATGCAGTATCTCGGTACAAATGTAGATAGATAGATAAGCGAGTCACAATATCATCCGGGTGGGTCATCGGGTCATAGGAGCGGTAACCACTGGCCTTTTGGGCGCCTATAGTTAACGTATTGATGGGAGTCAGGATATCACTTACCGATGACTATGCTGGGAAGATCAAAGATGTCCCTTCGTATCGAGAAACAAAAGGTCGAGGGTATCGGCGCGCCGGAGGGCTTGAGGAGAACGCAGTGCGAGTATACCGATTTGGTCGTATTCTCAAAGGCATGAGAGGCGAAGTTTTCCCAGTATTCGACGACGGATTGGTTTTCGAAAAGCTGGCACCGGGTCAACGTGATTTCAAGAAAGAGACCGAGTATACGAACTTCGTATATGTACTTGCGCTTTCCAACGAGATCTTCCAGACGCCACTCGGTGAGCATGCAAAACTCGGGTGCGACAAGACAGATTTCGCCGGTTCGCCTCCAGACCACCGTTGGTGTGCCACTGTACGAGATAAGCTTTTCGAGTTCCTACATGGGAAATCAAGACCAGTGTGATGTGAGAATAAATTAATATACGTACAAGTAGTGATCTTTGGAAACATTTCTCGACGAATACTTCGTCCTCATCCGTCATGGGCATTTGCAGAGCAATAAGTGATGGTCGAAAGATGGCGAGTGCTCGAACAATGCGTAATATGTCATTCTTTTCAAAACTGAATGGTCCAGGGTTCCAGGGGCAATCCAACCCAAGATAATATTAGGATTTGACCACACAGGCCAGGAGCTCTCGACTTCTCAGCACACAGAGTATACGCACCGACTCGGGAGATGCTTCATGAGGAAGTGGTAACCTTCGGTATAATCATAAGGCGTTGTTACGTTGATGGCCTGAATGGGAAGATGAGCCATATACAGCATGAGAAAGTAGACACGAACAGAATGATGATCACCGCTTTGGATCGTAGGCGATGGTGACGTCCGCGAAGAAGACTCGTAGGAGTGAGAACGAGTATCCCTCGATGGCGTGCGTATTACACTTGAGGAACCGAGACTGACGACACCACGCGAATAGTGTGGTGCAAGGTGATATGGAGCTGATAATTGTGGCTGTGGTTGAGCGTAGGAGTATTGGAGCGCTGGTGACGAAGTTCGACATAGTGGCGCGGGATAGCTTGTAAGGAAGGTTGGCGACGGTTGAGAGGCAGACAAACTATCCGGCTGCGGCATTGATAACTGTGGCGGATCTCCGAACGGGGAGCCAAAATTGCTTGGCGCTCCCTGAATGTACTGGGGTTGCGCGTGGAGTGGCTCAGGAGACCACGCCGAATTTGGGAGTGGCTGAGAAACCTGTTGCTGTTGCTGCTGTGACGGAGATGGTGCTGTACCGGATTCTGGAGGACTTGGATTACCCAAGATCGCAGAAAGTATGGAGTACTCTAAGTTGGCGGCCTCGGAGCCGAACGTGAAATTGGGATCGAACGACACATTAAAGAGTGGATCGTGCGATTGGAAGCTTTCAGCTACATGCAGTGTCAGAATATCACACGACTAGACAAAAGAGCCAAGACGTGTTACATGTCGGTTGGAGCGCGGGCGCAGGCTCTGAACTCGATTCAGGAACTCTGCCCTTTTTCTTAAGTTGTTCTGTCATAGGCACGTGATCAAAATTAACCGGGCAAGCGGAGATGCAGAGAAGCACGCACGAAGTTCGTCATCGTCGAGAAGATACTTGGCTTTCTTGCGATGGCCTTCTGTACAAGTAGAAGCAATTCCACGCTTGACGCAACGTTGACAAGGACGAGCTATTAGAGGCAATATGAAGTTGACATGTGCGAGATCCGGGAAACAGACAGGTGACCTACAATCATCACATGTTAAATGCGCTTTCTGACAGTGCGCGCAGGCACGGTTCGCTTTCTTTTTCTTGGGACCGTCCCTGCTTTTGCGAGGAGCTTCAGTGTCTTCATCGCGTCTGCGTTTCTTCAAGGCGACTTTGTCTTTTTGTGTGCGGTAATGAGAAGGGCCTGCCTGCGGTTCTGGAGTGACCATCTGGGAAGGATTCACGTATGCACTAGATGGTGAAGGAGCAGCAGTAGTCACAGGGGATGGGTCGACCAAAGTAGACATTTCTGAGGATGTAGCAGTGAGGGTGGAATATGCTCCCATGAGAGTTGTTATGAAGACATATAATGATCAACAAGGTAGATGTTTAAAGACTTGTAAGAAGTAAAAGGAAGAAGGATTATGACTGTCGGTTGCAAGCAAGGGAAACTTTGACGTCGGCCGTAAACCGATGAGCAACTGATATCCTTCCTTTTACATCATTTCCAATTATTGCCAAGTACATATAATATATTTTTTTACTATTTTGATTACATAATAAGTCAAACACCCGTAAACCGGTCGGCATTGCCGATCACGGACCGGAAACACCGGGCTGACGCTAACTAACATGAGGCAAAAATTCTATAGGTCTGTTCTAACTTGAACAAAGTTAGAATGCGTACTAGTGACAGTGTGAAACACTTGTTCGCTAGGCTGGTTTCTTCACTCGGTCGTGCAACTGCCACACGCGAATTCAAATGGATGAAACAAGCTTTGATCCCATCTCATTCTCTCACACTTCCCGCCATGCTCCAGCGCAGGTTGAGTGGAGAACCACTTCAATATATCTTAGGTGTGCAGACTAGTCCATCAATTCCACGTGCTAATCACTCATGCAGATCTCTAGGCACTACGCCATTTGGTCCACTTGACCTGCTGACAAGGCCTCCAACATTAATACCTCGTCCCGAGACAGAAGACTGGACTCTTCGCCTTGCGGATATGTTATCGCCGACCCCCCACCGTCCGCTAACCGTCCTCGACCTATGTACTGGCACCGGCTGCATACCTCTTTTATTATGTCATCTCTGGCCACCAGGCAGCACTCGCGCTTATGGCCTAGACATATCTAAAGACGCGATCCGCTTAGCCATGGATAATGCTGCACGTTGCAACATTCCATCATCCCAGCCCTCGTCCCTGACTCCATACAGTCAAAACGTATTCATTCCAGTGCTTGGTGATCTCCGTGATCCAGACGTCTTCAAATACCTCCTGCCGCCATTCGACATTATTACGGCGAATCCTCCTTACATTCCAAAACGAGAGTACGACGAGCTTCCTATATCAGTCAAGGATTACGAAGATCCTGCCGCATTGTTGGGCGACCCCCCAGATTCCGAGGAACAGGATGGCCTCACTTACTATCGTCTCATTTCGCAGCTTCTCAGACAAAAAGGGATGTTGCGGGACGGTTCAATCGTGGCATTGGAAGTGGGCCGAGCTCAAGCAGATGCGGTCGAGGGCATACTCCAGCAGTCAGCAGGCTTGCGAAACACGCAAGTATGGAAAGACCCATGGAATGTCAAACGTGTCGTCCTTGCACGCACTTGAGGATACTCACATACACGTGGCGTGTCCTCGAGTGATCGACGCTCTTCTAATCTCCAGATGCGCGTAATAATAGCAATCTTACTCCGTTTCTGCCGTGACTCATGACGTCCGATATATGAAGTTTCTACCGCTTCCCTCGACAACGACGTGGTTGACCTATGATCGAACTATTGAGTTGTTCTCTGAACGGAAACTCTTTTCCGGATATTTCACGGCGACCACACGTGGCAGCCCACATGCGGGGAATACAGACGGAAATCTCCCACTGCGAAGGGTGAGACGCCATGACAATGACAATAATTGCACGTGGCGCTTATGTGGCAGAGCAACCGACCTTGATTGGCGAGGGGAGCCGATTGCTCGTGGTGATGGATTTCAAGGTTGTCCGCAATCCAAATACTCAGGAGGTCTGTGATTCTAATGGATTTGATGTTACATTCGCAGAAAGCCGAAGTGTAATTCTATAGTGAGTGATCTCATTGTGAGCAGCTTAATGAAAAGTTTGATCAACCCCATGCAGACCCCTCGCGTTGCATATTTCCGCCGTCTTTATATCTCACCTTATCTCATCGCATTCCCAAGCCCCGGCAAGCGCCACATTTTCGTCTGAAGATGTCTATTTTCTACTCGATGCTGAAATCTGGCCTACTTTTAGCTGTTCTTCTGATTGGTGGTGGTGATATCGATGAAGGTTGAGAGGTTTCTTACGAGAGTGAGTCAGAGTACATGTCTGATGAGTCTTCAAGGAATAATGAATCAATACGCAGCCGGCAACGTGCTTCAGACCCCCGACTTTACGACATTGATTTGGATCCCCCTGTGACGCTTGTGCGACATGAGCACTGTTGTACTCACCACCGCTTGGACTATTTCCTCTTCTAATGCCCCCATTACCGCCATGACAGTAGAGCAAATGGACTTTAGAACGTAGAGGGCGACGACAACTCATTGGTTTAAATAGATATCCTGGCGCCTTTTTGTGCTCCACAGTCATTCCGCACCATCGCCAGGAAAAGTCCAATAAGACGAGATGATACAACAAGTATTCATGATTGATTCGCCACACTAGGATCCTGTGGGCTAGCCGCGGAGTCTGTGGCGGTTACAGTGACATCCATTTTCCTCGACAATCAACACAACACCATAGAAGACCATCTTGTTCTGATCGAGATTTTCAAACCACTCAAAAATAATGATCGGAACGATGCATGCGCTATTTCTGTCGCCATTCTCTGGATGTTGAAGTGTTTGACAGGGGTTAAGGAAGACTGGTCTTGCTGTAAGCTGCCGAGCCTAGTGCCGTTTTCTTCCTATCTTCCAGACTGATTAAGCTCTCTTATATCTAGTTTGGACCCAAGTCGTGAAGCTGTTCGTTGAGTGCTCCTCGATTATCCTACGCGGGTGATTGAGCTTCCCGCGCCTTTGCACATGCATCCAACTAGCATTCCGCAGGGGTCGGATCCAGATGCATCACTCCACACCAACTTTCTACTCTCAAATAGAGCATCGCTTCCCCGATTACGATACGTGTTTCCAACCTTCCGGCATTGCGCAAGCAACACATCTTGATCTGAAGAATCGTCATCTCCCAAATGATCTGAAACCTGCGGTGTCGGAGATAAGACGGAGACAACCAGTGGGAGTTCCACCTGCGGTCGTAGCGCATCCCAGGGATATTGGTGAGATTTACTTCCAATGGGGCGAGCTGGTGTTTGGGCGCTCTTCTCACAATAAAGTGCACACTCCAAGCTCACACCCCAAAGGGGGTTGACCACGTTATAGTCAACCGAATTACATGGTGGATTACCTCAAAATGAACAATAATCGTGCTTTAGCAAATGTGGAGCTATGCTCGCATTGAGAGATTAGAACACTTGGAATATTAATGTGCGCTGAAACTTGCATCAAGTTCTAGCATGTACTTCATGTAACCCTCCTAAACGACTCCTGAAAACCTACCCTGCAAGCATGAAACATCTGGCCAAGTAGCGGAAGTCCCTCACCGGCCGTGAAGTTTTCAACTATGCTTGACGATCGGCGCACCGCCTCCAACCGGCGGCCCAAACATATCCAGATTTTAAGCTCCACCAGATTGGATCTTGATCATTAATTACTATGGACTACTACTAGTACAAGCCGATGGATGTTGGTTCTGCATACCTTTGCCAGTGCTCGCGTGATTCAATTCACGAGGTTAATTATTATTCGGACTACTAGTAGTATGAGCCACTGATGGATATTGGTTCTGCGGCCCGCTATCTGGAACCGACCAGTGGCGCCACTACGGTTCGCGTGATTGGATCTACCTAGATCTGATTCGTCGTACCAAGGGGTTCTACCCCAAGATAAGACAGTCATTTACTGCGGGGGGAGCCGGCAGAGGAGTCTTTTCATACATCTACCATCTCATACGCAAAGCTTAGCATGGCATACGAGAGCATCCCACTCGAAGCCTTCCATGAAACATTCAAATCTAATACTGGTGCGTCACATTATATTTAAATTGCCCTTTGTTCAATCCCGACACGACTCGTCGAATTCAGAGCTCTCCAGTGTCGCACTAGGAGGAAAGGTTGTGAAAGTCTCAGACGAGTTCTTCGCTGAGGCATTTCACCTACTTGAAGTTGAAGTAAGTTCCACAGCCAGTGTGAGTTTACAATATATCAAATCCCTCTCAACAGCCAGCTCCCAGCCTCAAAGGGCAGTTTGGCCCTAATGGCGCGTTGTACAGCGGCTGGGAGTCACGGAGACATAATCCTTCCTACGACTGGTATGTTGACGAGTATGATCTGCATAATATGTCCCGAAAGTGTTCTCCGCACAGGTGTATCATTAAACTTGGCACGTTGGGCACGGTCGTCGGGTTCGACATCGACACAACCCACTTCAACGGTTTGTCTCAGGCTTATCTTTACAAAATCAATGATATTGATAAGGTCGTCGTAATTGGTAGGTAATGAAGCTCCCGAAGTATCCGTAGATGGCATCATTGACTCATCATTGGATGAACATAACGTGGACAACGCAAAGGTTCGTATCTGTATCTCGCGTCCGCTTTTCCTAAACCGAAATATAACGCTCCAGTGGACGGAAATATTACCTCGTGTCCCCCTCGGCCCGTCTAAGCGGCATCTTTTCAAGATACCAGAGACTGAACGAGTGAAGTTTGTAAAGTTAAACATGTATCCGGACGGTGGTATCGTAAGACTCGTGCACAACTGCTCGAATGTGAAACTCACGTGTTTAATTATAGGCGCGTTTCCGAGTCTACGGTAACGTCGCTCCTGTGCAGCCTGATAGCCCTCAAGAAGTGTTCGATCTCGCCCATGTCTTCGCTGGAGGTCGCGTGACATTTATGTCCGATCAGCATTTTGGTGTTGGCGCCAATCTGATTCTCCCAGGGCGTGGTAGGTCTCGCGCTTCTTGGCAGTTTGAGTTCGGTACTATATCTGTGCAGGTAAAGATATGGGCGATGGTTGGGAGACTAAGCGAAGCCGGCAAAAGGGTCACAAGGATTGGGTGATCATTAAATTGCAAGTCACCGAAAACCTCTCAGAGTCCCATGAATTGAGCTTATAGGCGACTATCTAGGGGCGCACCAGGCCATCTAGGAACAGTCGAAATTGACACGGCACATTTTAAGGGCAACTTCCCAGAGAGCTGTGAACTCCACGCTTTGTGTAGCGAAGATGAGATACCAAATAGCGACTGCCGTCGATTGGACACAGATTTTGTCCCCGGTCAAGCTTGGTCCGCATCGTAGGCACTTCTTTGCACTGGAAGCAGATACCTCTGTTGCCTACACGCACGTAAAGCTTACCATATATCCTGATGGTGGTATCAAACGCGTACGAATCTATGGCACGAAGGGACCCTGTCCTACAGCAGACCTTGCAGTCAGACCTACTGATACAGCAGAAAACGATGCTGCTGTACCACTTGAGTCGGCGCCTGTAGCAATGAAACAGGTCAAAACCATACCTGTTCTCCCCCTCACACCAGAAGCCTTTTCGCCCTTTGGCCAAGTCATTCAAGCATATGGTGACCATGCCGCGGCTCCCCCAGGGACTAAGATCACGCCTGCGAATCAGGGTTCTGCAACCAAATTCCATAAACTTTCACTTTTAAAATCGTCGTATCCGGCTGATCTGGAGGCTAGCAGTGGACTGTCCGTCTATCGCTGCAATCCGACAAAAGTTGTTAATGGTGGTGTGGAGCTCAAGGTCGTCGAGCGTCACCCATATACGAACCAGGCCTTCATTCCTATGGGAGGGGGAGGTATACAGGGTGACGAGGTGCTGAAGGAGCCAGGCAGTGCATACCTTGTGGTGGTCGCCCACAATGGAGCCGATGACAAACCCGACTTCAGTACTCTTCGTGCATTCGTTGCGAGTGCAGGGCAAGGAATCATGTATAACACCGCAATTTGGCGTAAGTGACCCACCAACATTTGCGTTACCAGTTTTTACAACATGTTTCAGATCAACCGATGACGGTTTTGTACAAGGTAACGGGCCTCTTTAATCTGTTCTGGAATGCACAAGCTCACCAGCTTTCTGGAAGCCAATGGACTTCACTTGCGTGGAGACGCAAATCGGGAATGGCGACAAGGCGGATTGTGAAATATTGGACTTGGAAGCTAGCGAGGTGGTCATTCTGGCGCTTCCGCGTCACTAGGTTACCTTCCTGCTCGACACAACACACCTTCTGATTGATCGACAAAGCGTGATATCAATCGGAGTGATGTGTATTATTTAAGCTCTAGTGTTCGAGATCAAGCCACAATCCAGGCTTGTAAGCTCTATGTAGGTCAGTGATGTGTCTATTAGTGTAATAAATCTACTTCTTTGCCTGCGGCATCGTCTTGCGGTAGGCCTCTTCCAGTTCCTTCTGAACGTTGGGTAGCACAGGCATGTGGTTCTACGAGGACAACATCAGCTCCTACCCTTCAATCGACGTGCATAACATACCTTATACTCCATGGTGAACTCGCCCTTGCCCTGCGTCGCACCGCGGAGCTGACTCGAGTAGCCAAACATGTCATTCAGAGCGACTTCTGCAGTGCAAACGAACTCTTCATCGCGGACCTCACTGTCAATGATAGTACCTCGCCGTTGATTCAGTCCACCGATGACAGCGCCTATATGAGAAGTGAGTTCATCCACGCAACCAAAA